CGAGGCTGTGGAGAAGGGTGTCACAGTGACGGAAATCAACAGCGGAGTCACCAGCTTCAGCTTTGGTGAGTACAGATTTTCACGAAGATGAAGGGAAGACTCAATGGTCGTAGGTGAATCAGGTGCCACTGCGCCTTCCTCGGCCACTCAGTTAGGAGTATGGCTATCTATCACTCCCATATTACTGGCCCTGTTCATTTGAAGATAAATCGTGTAAATTGAGGGGTATCTCTGCCTTCAGAGCTCAATTTAGTGATGTTCGTTCTATCGCGGTCGAATCTTGGAAAGTTTACCTCGTAAGGCCGCTACTCGATAAGACGTGAAGGCTGTGCTAGTGAACATCTCATCAACACTCTTACACCATCGAAAGATGAACTAGTGGCAAACGTTTATTGTCAATTTTCTTGAGGGGCTTTATCCTCTGCACAAGAGGTGAGAATGAGATGATCAGCAGTCCGTCTATCCCATTACTCACCTCTCAACTTCTCCATACGGTAGAAGAGAAAGACATCAGGCTCACGAGAGTGTTCTAAGACCTTGAAAGATAACAAAAGAGATCCACTTCTAGGTTGAGGTCCCAAAAGACGCAGGACATCGCCCACAGCGTCAACGATGTCTTCCTCCTCAGGAGCCCAAGGCAGAGTACCATAGCTCTCCCAGGTTTGATCTCCGCGCCTGATCCTCTCCCGAGAGATTCTTCCTCTGCCCCCAGAGTTGCGCAACGTGCTCAGAGCTGATCTTTCCATTTGATCCAAGAGGGTAAAGTGAGACTCTGTGATGTCTCGAATCGCATCGTCGAAACCATTGTGGTGGTGAATCGATCGGCAGGAATGATGGTGCTGCGGTCTCAAAGAGAAGACGTTGTTGAAAGATAAAGGATAGTAGTTCATGGTGTGATGTCGCCCGTGTGTTTATGTGGTTACAATTCCTTGATGATGCCTGGTCATTGAAATTTCTGCAAAAATCAACTATTTAATTCATATTTGTCTACAAACGCAACACGCCCCTGGGCGATAAAGAAGCATCTCTTGACAGGTTCTGTATTCTCTTTCTTTACAGCTCCTCCAGTGATCTAAATTTGGCGTGCATCTCGTCGTTGAGCTGCTTGTAAGCTGCGGTGACTTGGTCCTTTCCTAGTGTGGGGACTTGGAACTTTTGTCTGGAGATCTCGTTGAGGACTTCGGGCATGTGGTTCTTGATTGTGACCAGAGTGATCTTTCTGTCATCGTTGCTGCTCTCCACAGCCTTGCAGGCCAGATCGTAAAATCCAATCATGTTTCTCAGCATCCACACCGTCTTCCAGAAGGGGCAGAATCTGTCCCAGTCGGAGAATCCGTTCTGCTGTAAGAAATCGTCCTTCAGGAGACGAGCGACCTCCAGCGTGATCTTGTCCGTCTCTGACAGAGAGTCCTGCTCTCGTCAGCCTTAATTGATTCTCACATCCATATCGATGTGTTCAGGAACACAAGTCGAATCTGAACACATGTATCTACACTTGTAGAGCATTGAATCTCACCTTTCCGACGAGCTGTACGATTTCAGCGAGATCGTCCTCGTTCTGGAGGATGGTCTTGGCCTTGGTTCTGAGGGAGACAAACTCGGGGTCGAAGGTCTCGTAGAAGGGCTCGAGGACGTTGAGGTACTTGGAGTAACTGACCAACCAGTTGACAGAGGGGAAATGCTTTCTCTGGGCGAGCTTCTTGTCCAAACCCCAGAAGACCTGAACGATGTTGAGGGTGGCAGCTGTAACTGGATCTCCGAAATCTCCTCCTGGGGGAGACACGCTGAGAGGGTCAGTCTCGTTCCATGGATGTGACACTCACGCTCCGACAATGGTGACGGAACCCTTTCTCTGAGGGTTACCCAGACAGACCACCTTACCGGCACGCTCGTAGAAGGAGGCCAGACGGGCTCCCAAATAGGCAGGGTAACCAGCATCTATCACGTGTGAGAAGAGTGTTGTAGATGGAGGGAGACTCACCGGCGGGCATCTCAGCGAGACGACCGGAAATCTCACGAAGAGCCTCGGCCCAACGAGAGGTAGAGTCAGCCATCATAGCCACGTTGAGACCCATATCTCTAAAGTACTCGGCCAGAGTGATACCAGTGTAGATGGAAGCCTCACGAGCGGCCACAGGCATGTTGGAAGTGTTGGCCACGAGACAGGTTCTCTTCATGATGGACACGGATTGTCCTCTCACTTCGGTCTCGAGCTGTAAACCCGTCAGAGGCCGTTCCCGCCAAAATGCTCACCTCAGGGAACTCCTTGAGCACCTCAGCCATCTCGTTTCCTCTCTCTCCACAACCGACGTAGATGATAGCCTCCGAGTTGGAGTACTTTGACAGAGACTGAGAAATAACCGTCTTACCACAGCCAAAGGCACCGGGGATAGCACAGGTACCACCCTGGACGGAGGGGAAGAGGGCATCGAGCACTCTCTGACCACAGAGAAGGGCAGAGTCGGGAGTCAGCTTCTCGGTGACGGGACGAGGAGAACGAACGGGCCAGAAGTGCATCATGGTGAACTTCTTCACTTTTCCGAGGAACTCGCACTCGAGGACGACATCCTTGAGGGTGTAGTTGTCGGCGGGGGCGATGAAGGTGATGGTTCCCTTCTCTCCGGGGGGAAGCATGATCCAGTGAGTGAGGAGCATGTTCTCTACGACCTTTCCATAGATGTCTCCTCCAGTGATGTGGTCTCCCACGCGGAGTTGGGGCTCAAAGTACCAGCCCTTGCTCTGGTTGAGGGCAGGGATGTTGATACCCTTGGGAATGTAGATGGACTTGGTGTCGTCGTAGATGACCTGCAGGGGTCTCTGGATACCATCGAAGATGGACTCCATGATTCCGGGTCCCAACTCGACGGACAGAGGCTTCTTCGTTCTCAGGACTGGATCTCCAACAGTCAAACCGGCTGGAAGAGGTCAGACGAACGTGAGAATGATACTGGATGTCTATGTGAATGCTGACTCACATGTCTCCTCGTAGACCTGGATGGTGGCGTTGTCACCCTCGAGACGAATGATCTCACCGACCAGCTGCTCGTTACCGACACGGACGAGCTCGTACATAGCTGCTCCGGACATTCTCTCGGCAACGACGACTGTATACAGAATGAGTGTTGTCAGAAGATGTGAAAGCATCAGGTGAAGGGGAGAACAGTTGAATCACACACCAGGTCCAGAGACGGAGAAGACAAAACCGTACTCGCTCTCCTTGACATCGTCTTCGAACCTGGGAAGGCTCTGCTTAGCGCTTGCTAACGTGACGCTCTGACATTTTGTTAGTTGGAATCAAGTTGAATGACTCACCATTTTCGATCAGAATATGTAAGAGCGTGTGTGTGATAAACTCCTCCTATGAAACAGTGAGACGTTACCCTCCTCTCAATAAAAGTGACGACAGAATATACGCGATCGCAGAGATGTAGAGAACGAGAAGAAGAGAAGGATAGGTCTTCCACAACAGACAGAAAGAGAAACCTTATCAAAGACACACCTAAGGGCGAGGGGTCTGTTTCTTGAAGTCAAGGCGAGATGAAGCGAGCCCTCCCTCCCACCCCCAACTTCTCAGTGGTTTGAGAATTCCCTCCCTCCCCCCCGGCTACGGAGAAGTTCATTGAAGCTTCTCGTCAACAGAAGCCTCCTCTCTTGGTACAGAAACTAAAGACAGTAGAATGTACTGTACTATCTGTCTATAGATCTTATCTGAGTGAGTTCCTCAAAAACTTGCAGGAGCGCTGTTTCCTTCGATAACATCACACCCACGAGGGAGGGCAGATCAGAACATAAGTATAAATTTCCACTATCGATCGAGCATTGCAATCGGTCAACAATGGTAACTGCAAGCGATGGAAATCAGACTACATCAGAGCGAGAGATGGTGTCTTTGCTAAAGTGAGTCGAAACAAATTATTATCTCTGGTGAGACAAAGGACTATTTCCATCGATATCGTGAAGTTGGTCGTGAAGTAGAATAAATAAGCGTAAGATACCATGATCAGCCTTTGTTCGTGTGTGTCTTTTCAAATGGTGAACGGAAGAGCTCTGGTGGCTCTGTTCTCATAGTCCAAGGCATTTGGTACAACGAACGAGCTTGAAGCTTCTCTTCTTGGTATTTCCTTCCAAAATACAGGTCTTCCATCACCTACAACAATGAGATGAAACAGTCGCATCAGGTATAAGCATCACCTCCTTCGTTTTACCATGAAGCAAATACTTCGCTTTTACACGCTGACAGACTGATGCATTGTTCTTTTCTATGTCACACAAAACATCGACAGAGCCAGTTCGGTAATAAGATTGAAGAGCTCCACTTATAGCTGTTGAGTGTCAATGATTTCGTAGTTATTCGAAAGACGATGATGATTTGATCACATATGCATTTTCTGTAATTGTTTTGCATGGCCCAGCAGTTTAGGTCTTCAGGATCTTCCGGTAAACAGTGTACATTGTTTGTTAGTTGGGTTTCTTCGTCCTTCTTCTTTGGAGTGACTGTTTTTTCGAGTTCAATAGTCTGTTCAAATGCCTTTTCGATATCATCGAATATGTCGTCTGGTTTGTCTTTTCCCATTGTGTATGTGATCAGATGATCGGGTGTTGTGATGTGATGTCGCAAAATAAATGAATTAATGGGATTTATGAAGGTGAGAAGGGGAGATGTTGATTGGGATACGGGAGTTGAGCAGGAGGTACTACTATCGTGTCAACACGAGATATTGCGGGTCCTAATAACATCAGAAGTGATGACGACCCAACACCTTCTGAGCCGAAAGACGTTCAGTGACTGCTTCCTTTGGATGATTTCATATCATCTACAGTGGCGGATATCTGGTCTATCTAGACACAAGAATACCGTAATTCTAATGTATTGAATGCCGAGCAGTTTACCGTCATGGACTATAACCTCACACTTTTCTGCTTTCCTGAGGTGGTGGCAACGATCATGATGGTCGATCGGCTCTCGTTGATTGGTGTTGTGTACGGGATCAAAAGGTGATCGCCCTATTTGGGGCTCGAACCCAAGACCTATAGCTTAGAAGGCTATCGCTCTTCCAACTGAGCTAACAGGGCCGATGACGTGGCCGATATCACTCAATGAAATACTCAATCTCCAACAACAGCTGCAGTCGATCCATCTCAGGCGCAGAGACAAACTCATTCACAGAGATTCAGACGTGTGCTGATAGCACGGAGCAGCTTCAACGAGATTCTTTTGAATAACAACACAGTGAAGCAAAGCAATGATATGTACATGAATTTATAACAGTGAGCATCCTTTCGTCTTCTTCTTCCCCATTTCCTTCTTTGGTTGAATCCTGTTCACTTGTCTGACGAGATCGACGAACAGTTCCTCCACGTTCAAGTTCTTCAGTGCTGAAGATTCGTAAAAGCTGGCGTTCATCTGCAGCCCCATGCTAACACCTTGTTCCGTTGTGACGACACGCTGGTCCACCAAGTCACACTTGTTACCACATAATACTAGAGGAACCTGCCATCTATCAGATTGACCGACCATGACAGTGTCAACCGACCTGATCCACATCTTTCACCCGTAAGATCATCTCGTGCATGTCTCTCAGATCGTTGAACGAAGATTGTGAAGTGATGGAATAGACCAGTATAAATCCGTGACCGTTCTTCATGTAGAGATCTCTCATCGCGGTGAACTGTTCTGTTCCAGCGGTGTCTGAAAAGACACCATCAGATCATGTCCGTCAACGTTCCGCCCACTTACCTAATATCTCGAGAATGATCTGCTCTCCATCAATGTGTGTCGTCTTGCTGTACGAATCTTCGATCGTTGGATCGTAGCGAACGAGAAAGAATTCTTGAACATATTGCACAGTGAGGGCACTCTTGCCAACCTGGAGAATGTTAAGAAGGTAAAAAATGAAGGAGCTCACTCCTCCGTTGCCTAAGACGACAAACTTGTATTCTCTGACCATGTTGCTTGTGTGTTCGTAATCGGAATGTGTTTAGAATGAAGCAGAGGAGGCCGTCGCTGTGAGCGAGGGGAGAAAGAACTTCACACGTTATTCGGCGAAGCTGGCTTTGGACCGCTTAGATCGTAGCTGTTCATAAGAACCACTACCACACCGTTGTTGAACAATTACGTCGCTTCGCAGAATCTATTTCATCCGATCACCCAGGGATGAATGGGTGATCTCGCCTGAAGCAGCGGTCGTGGATAGAGATCAGTAGGATCGTCACTTGAACATAGGAGACAGTGTCGATGAACACCTAGCATCATGCAGGCAGATACGTATGATCGATGTATTACGATCAATATTGAATTATTATCAAAAGAACAGGGCTACCAATGAGGGAGCGAATAAACACCCTAATATAAGCCGAGCGGGTGAGGAATGCACCTACTACCGATGAGTCTTTGCGAAAGTATTGATAGCTGTCTATTAGAGGAGCACACCAAAACTGAACTGGTTCAATTTGGTCAACTCTAAAGCAAGTTATATGAACAACATTCTAGAATTTATTGCGATACAAAGATCGTGATACTTTTATGTCAAGACAACGTCTCATGTTGTGAGATTGATATCGGACATACAACAACCGGTGGAGTATCACTTATCCACTTTACAGGCTGAGAGGTGCTATACCACGATAGTAGACCCCTCGGCAATCATGGTCCATGCCGGGAGCTGTGAACTCCGTGGAGATCAGAGGCGATCTGAAGCTGCGTCGGTGCCTTTACCTCTACCGATGCTTGTCGTACCTCCTCCTCTCACGTGCTGAAAATTGCTTTTTCACCTCACCTGCATAGATTCGTCGTCTTTGAGACTCCTCTCTCGTATTCACTGTCAGTCTTTCGGTTGTAATGATTCTTCGGAATCCATAGACAGAGAGGCTCTTCATACAGGCCATCTCGACCCGAGAAGACACAAAGATGGACACGTCTGCTCGGAATAAGAGGATCGCATGAAGGAAGGATGCAGGTGAGGCCTGAGAGTGCACTCAGAGGAGATGCACGGATGTGTTGTGGGTCACTTTGTTTTTGGTCACGTGACTTGAAACTGGGAGGTTGGAATTCGGCAACCTTGTAAATCCCGTGTCTTCATTGTTGACTTCACAAAGCACAAGAAGAGCCAGAGGCAGCCAAAGAGTGTATACTCTGTCGACAATCGGCAACACCCGGATACAAAGGACACAAACGAATCCAATCGCAACAACAAAGACAACAGACACTATGCCACTCGTAGGAGGAAAATACAGACAAGAGCTCGCACAGACTGCGGTGAGAGTTAGGAGATGACGTGTGAGACTGATGGTGTCGTAGCAAGCACTCTCACAGAGAGGAAAGGGTCTCCTCGCTGCAGACGAGAGCACGGGAACCATCGGAAAGAGATTCGATTCCATCAAGGTCGAGAACAACGAGTCCAACCGAAGAGACTACAGAGAACTCCTCTTCACCACCAAAGGTAGAGAGAAGAACACAGACGTAACCGTAGATTGACCTCATCAGGCTGGGGACAGTACTGCAGTGGCGTCATCTTATACGATGAGACCTTGCACCAGAAGGCAGCAGACGGAACACCATTCACAGAGCTCCTCAAGAAGGAGGGTGTCATCTCTGGTATCAAGCTCGACAAGGTATGTCGGTCACGTGACTGACCGGCACCGATCTGACGAAGAGCAGGGTGTCGTTCCCATTCCAGGAACTGAGGGAGAGACATCCACTCAGGGTCTGGACGGTCTCGCTCAGAGATGTGCTGACTACTACTCCAAGGGTGTTCGCTTTGCCAAATGGTTCGTACTCTCTTCCATCTTTTCTTTCTGTCGATTGACTTGGAACAGGAGAGCTGTGTTGAACATCAACAAGAGCTCCCCCTCCCAACTGGGCATCACCGAGAACGCGCACACTCTGGCTCGCTACGCCGCCATCTGCCAAGAGAACGGACTCGTTCCCATCGTGGAGCCCGAGGTCCTGATGGACGGTGAACACAGTCTCGAAGACTGCATCGAGGCCACCCAGAGTGTCCTCGCCGGTGTCGTCAAGGCCCTGCACGATCATCACATCTTCTTGGAGGGTTGTGTCCTCAAGCCCAACATGGTCACACCGGGTCAAGGCCACGCCTCTTACAAGACCACATCCGCACAGGAGGTAGCACGTGCCACGGTCACCGTCCTGCAGAGGACCATCCCACCGGCCATTCCAGGCATCTTCTTCCTCTCCGGAGGTCAGTCAGAAGAGGAGGCCAGCCGAAACCTCAACGCCATCAACGCCCTGGAGGCAGCCAAGCCATGGGCTCTGTCCTTCTCGTACGGAAGAGCCTTGCAGAAGAGCGCCCTCTCTGCTTGGGGAGGAAAGAAGGAGAACCTTCAGGCGGGACAAGACGCCTTCGCTCAACGAGCAAAGGCCAACAGCGAGGCCCAGCTGGGCAAATACGCCGGTTCGAGCAACTCTTCAGCCGATCAGTCTCTCTTTGAGAAGGACTACAAGTACTAAAGCCTTCTGTTTCCTCTTTACTTCTTTGTGAAAAAGTTTCGTATGCTCGCTTGTGTCGCCTTCGTGGGTACAGGTGCTTGTTCTGTCTTCTCTTTCGCCTCCTGCTTCACCTTGGGTTCCTCATAGTCCACCTCCACCATCTCTTCGATCACCACATCTCGTGTCACTGTCCCCCTCAGTCTATTGTCTACATACTCTCTAGCCTCTCTCTATTGTCTATATATTCTCTATTGTCTATATATTCTCTATTGTCTATATACTCTCCATTATCTATATTCTCCTTTCTCTCTCACCTGTGTATCCCTTCTCATTTTTGTACTTCTCTGTGACTGTTCTCTTCTGTGGTCTCAACACTTTCTTCACTCCATCAGCACCCAACACCACCTTCCATATTCAGACTTGTCTCTCTCTCCTCTCACCTTTTCAGTCGTCTGTGTCTTTGGGGGTGAACTGAGCACCTTGTCCAACGTGTTGCTCTGTTGTGGCTTGATCGACTTCTGTCTCTTCCTCTTTGGCTTCTTATCTGGGCTCTCTTGTGACTTTTCGGCTGCCCCTTGTCATTCAGAGGAGATCTCCATCCACTCACCCTGGGAGTTCTGACTCTCTTCTGCTTGCGATGACATCTCTTCTTCACTACTCTCAGAAGAACTCTGTTCCTCTGGTTCTGGAGAGTCGACGATCCTTCTCTTTCTGTTGGTCTTGGATGGTGTGCTGAATCCTTCTTCTTCCTTCTGCTCCTTCTTTCCTCCCTTCTTCACTGGTGACGCTGAGCTCTTTCTGGCCATCTGTCGTTGTCAACCTCAATGATGTACAGAGACTCTTTACCTTCACCGGTTTTCCTTTCGATTTGGATTTCTTTGGGGACACTTCGGATTCCTCATCCTCAGACATCTCTTCTTCCTCTTCTTTCTTCTCCTTCTCCTCTTGCTTCTTCTTCTCTTCTTGCTTCTTCTTCTCTTCTGCTGCTTTGCTCTTATCCTGCTTCTTGGACTTCTCTTCTTTTGGTGCCTCCTCCTCCTTTTCCTTCTATTTCTCTCATCAGTTTCATCCTCAGGGCAAACGAACCTTGATGGGGGTCAATTGAGGCTCTTGCTTGTCTGCTGTCTTCGCACCAGCCTATTCTCTTCAGCTCAATGATCGTCATCCTCTCACCTTGAAGAAGGAGTTCATTGTTCCCTTGTTCTTGCCACCAGTGACGGACGTAGCTGATGTGGAAGCCGGTGTCGCCACAGAAGAGGGAAGGGCAGTGTTGCTGCTCTGTCTGTGCTCAGCTTTAGCCTTATCGGTATTCACGAGACCCTTAGAGGCGAGGTGCTGTACCTGCGTGACGTCAGCATCGTGATGAGCGTTTCTCTTCACTTGTTGTGTCTCCCTCTTAGTCCTCTTCTCTACGTCAAATTGGATAGAAGAATATCGATTATCCAAGTACTGCGCTCCTTCTCCTTTCTGTAGGGCATTTTGGTACTGTACAGCATCTGCATTCCACAGTTGGATCGCATCATTGGGTAATTCAGATTGAACACTGTAGATGTGAACTCCACTGATCTCATCGAACTGTTTCCGGCATTCTATTCTCGTTCAATCCTCTCTCTTCTTCTCCCCTCAC